GTGCTCTTCCGATCTCCCCAAAACCCCAAAACCCCTTTGATAGAATTATAATGATAAAAAGGGAGAGTGAAATTAATCAAGAGTACATACGTAGTAATTTTTATAATATATCATTATTATTTAAATATGTTCATCCTTTCACTTTTAGAGTTCGTATTCAAAATAGCCTGTTACCTTGGCTTCTTCATTGCACTGTCACTACTCATGGTCTACCTATTGTAGAATAGGATGTTATACATTCCTGATGCACCTAATCAAGCATTTAGATTCCCAGAGAATAACCCTAAGACATACAGAAATCCAGGAGAACGAAATATGTCATATGAGGAAGTTACCATAAAAACTAGTGACAAACTTAAACTTGCAGGATGGTTTATCAAATAGAAGAACCCCCTTTCCCACGAGACAGTGATTTATTACCATGAAAATGCAGGCAATATTGGAAACAGATTATATGCAATCGAAGCTCTTTACTTCGAGTTAGAGGTCAATATATTGATTGTAGGCTATCGTGGCTATGGACACAGTGAGGGAGCCCCTACAGAAGCTGGACTTGAGTTAGATGCTGAAGCTATCTTCTAGTTTGCTTTAGATCATAAGGAAATAAACAATCAGAAACTATTTATAATCGGTAAATCTCTTGGAGGTGCAGTGGCAATTTAATTGGCTGAGAAAAAGTAAGACTAGATCTGCGGCATGATTCTTGAGAACACTTTCTGTTCAATCTCTGAAATGGTTGATCATATTTTCCCGCTCATTGCCCTTTTCAAGAGCATCATATAAAGAATATATTGGCCATCTATTGACAGAATTCCTAACATTAAGGTTCCTCTACTTTTTATAGGGGGCCTCAATGATGAGATTGTCCCTCCAACTCATGTTAACAGGCTATTTGAGGCAGCTAAAAATGCTGCTTTCAAATAGATGTACTAGGTTCATGGTGGAATGCATAACGATACATGGTTTAAAGGAGGCAAAGACTATATTTATGCAATCAAAGACTTCATCGACAAGGCAAGTGAATATAGAGCCAATAGAGATAATAGTAACAACAGATCAAGTTATGTATCTAATTCAACAATGCCTAATTAGGGAGGAGTTGGCAATCAAGGACCATAACTTAGAAGACCAATAAATCTAAACAATGAGTTTAATTGATCAAATAAGAGTTTTTGAGAAATCTAGTTAACATGAGAATCTAATAAATCTGAGTAATAAATTTTACATTCCTTAAATAATAGTTCATATTGAAAGAATGTTACCTATTAATTAAGTTATTATCTTTTTTTACCCTGATTGATGGCCTATGTGACGTATAGGGGTTTTGGGGTTTTGGGGAGATCGGAAGAGCACACGTCTG